GGAGGGAGAACTTAGTAAAAGTTTCTTATAATATTCGTCTGAAGCTCTGTGGAAAGAAGTAGGAATAAGCAGCATTATAAACATGGCTGTTTGAATGCTGAGCCTCATGGACAACAGTGTTTGTGATTCTCTGACTCACTTGTCCTTGGACTCTGTTTTGCCCTGCTGTTGTGCAAAGACAAGGCTACAGCTAAGGTGCAAGTTCTAGCCACTTAGCTTTTAGCTGCCTCTTTAAGTAAGAGGTTTCAGGGCTCAGCCTTAAGGGGTGAAGAGGCTGAATGATCCATGCAAGTTCAGACCAAAATGTCATCTTATGTGCTAGATAAATGCATAGATGAGGTCTCACCCCCCTGCTTGAAGTGGAGAGGTTAGGCACTGAGCTCATGGTGCTACAGCAAGCACAGATATCGTGTCTTGATCAAACAGTGGTGACAGCTATTGGTCCTCCAATGTGCTTTAGGTTAGGAGAAACAGATGCTATTTTTCCTCTTTCTGGCTCTTTCTTGAAAACAGAACTTGGCTGTGGGAGTTTTCTGTTTTCTGTTCCACCTACTTAGATACTTTTTCTATATAAGCTTCTCTTAATTTGGTTGCTCTATTGAATGGTTTCTAGCTATTAGGTTGCAGCATCCACCACTACTTTCCTACTGTCTTTGCCAACTTAATTAGTGTTTTGTTCCAAATGTGGCCTATTACATGACTGTTGTACAGCAGAGTTACTGTATTGAGTTGTGAATAACACTCTTTTTCTGTGGTGGTTGCCACTTTTCAAAACACTGCACTAAGATGAGATTTAAGACAAAAATAGCGGTGGTCATGTGCAAATTTAAGACACAGGATCTAGGAATGTTCTGAGGTCCCGCAACATTTTTGAACAGTATAACATCCTATATTTTTTGCTATATGAGATATTATAAAAATTCCTGTTGCTATCAAGTTAAAGACTTTCCAGACATGAACACAGGACATTTAGAAAGGAGATAATATTTGGAATTCAGTAGCTAGGCCTATGTTGTTCAGCATATTCATAAGTTATCTGGAAAAAAAAGGTGTCATTAGTGATAATAAAAATTATGGGTGATATTAAGTTGGCTAAGGTAATGAAGAAGAGGTCAGACTGAAAAACTATTCAGTCCTAGTCTCACTGTCTCTGAAAGAATATATTTGAACTGGAATATGCTCCAAGAAGGACAAGATGAGTTCAAAAACGAACAGGATAACTTTCATATGAGGAATGACAGAATATACTAAAAATATTTGGAAAAGAGAAGATTACCAGTGAAATGATGACATAGGGAATGATGGTATCTTCTGATAAAATAATTAGATGCATCAAATGAGAGTATTAGGGTTTTGTTGTTGTTGTTGTTGTTTTTTCCGAACAACGGGAAATTATTAATTTCCTCATGTTAACTTAGTTGAGTGTGAAACTTCTTACTGGAGAGTACTATTTCCAGAGTATATAAAAAAAATCTGAAGTGGATTAAATGCCTCAGTGGGTTCAAAAAGCATCTGGACAAACTTGGAGAAAAAAAAATGTTAAGGGACATGAAACACAAAGAGACCATCTTTGGCTCTGGAAGTCCCTGAGCTGCATACCACCAGAGCTTGAGAAAGCGTTCCGTAGAAGCATATGTTTGTCCTGTTGTATGTTTTTCCATTAGCATCTGGTATCAATTGCTGTTGTAAATGGGATACTCTGCTAGGTGGACCTTTGCTATTGCTTTTAAATCTTTTATACTGCTTCTGCTTTATTTTCCTCAAAGCACCTGAGACAGAGTCATTCTTTATGGCACAATGTTGTTTATTGTCTTGCAAAAAATCACTGAAATTTATATTCCATGGTAATTCAGGCATAAGTTATAATCATTCAGGTAAGATTACAGTTGGATCAGATGGGAAAAGAAGGTTGCTTTATTATTTGTAGCAGGAAGAGGAATACTCAGGACACCTTGTAGTTGTGGCTTAAGAATACTAGTAGAAGCTGCAAAATTATGATAATTAAACAATCCCCAAATGATAGTAAGTACCCAATGGAGGACTACTGTTGTAGGATTAAATGTGCAATGACACTGGGTATTTGGTCTTAGAGAATGTTAATTGTTAGATAAATTGGTTTTGATGAAATAGAAAGCTACTTACTAGGTCAAAAGTCACGAAGACAAATAATGAATTTATTAGTTTCAAAGTATTTGATTGGTAAAATATGACATATATGTTGTTGGTTATTTCAGAGGACTGCGGGGTTCACAATGTATGCTACAGTAGCGATAAATGAATACCATCTGAGCTTTATGTTGTTCCTGACTACAACCAATCTTGTGCATGAGCAAGATGTTGTCAGGGTTACATGTTTTACCTAATACTACTTCCAGCAATGCTTGTGTTCTTTCATGGCAACAATTGCTCACATTCCCAGTTTACAAAGAGATTTGCTCATACCTGTTGTAGGTGGTTGCTGCCTTCCTTTTTTAGCATGGTAGAGTCACACTATTTCAGATTCTGAAGTCTAATGTCACCTCTAGAGAATCATGCTTGCCAAAGTAGAGCTTTGTATAGCTTTTCCTCCATCGACCCATTGCTGCTTCAGGGTGTCTTATTGTTTGGCAGGAAGAGATTTGTATCATATTGTCACTGATGCAGTCCATACCAGTACTTTATATTAGAAAGGATAATCAGCTTAGTTTGAACATTACTGTTTTGTGTTCTACATATAATATAAATTTAATTACTGACTACTCTTAACTGAGTGCTCAGAAGACCTCTCTGGCTTTGCAGAGGTTCAGATTTCCATATTTATACAAGAGTTCGTGGAACAATTATTGTGTTCTGTGATGGCAATCACTCAAAAATACTGTTAATTTATCTGTATATGAAAAAGGAATGGTCCAGCCATGGCTTTTATTCTCTAAGTGTCTTTCTCTTGCCAAGCATATGACATACGAATGGCTTAATGGTGGTCTAGCTCTTGTGGGTTGTATACATAAGATTTGACATGTCTCATAAGGTTATGCAATTGGTCAGTCTGATGTATGAAGTCAAACAGAGGTTATAGCCATAAGCTGCAATTAATTAACCTATCAACAGTGAAGTGGAGGTCTTTCTTTTTCCTTAAAGCACAATAACGAAAAATACAGAATTCAGAAATACCTTTTCTTTCAAAACTTACCAGCATTAAAAGAGCACTGATATTTGAGAATGCAGTGCACATCTACACATAATTTTAGTGACATTAAAGTGCAGCATGTTCTAAGTGATGAAGTGAGTAATGATTTATTCATCATTTAATTTAACCTTCTGTAACATTATTCTGAATCAGCTTGCTTGAACAAGAGTATGTCTTAAAAATAATAATTAAATCTTGATTACTGTTTCTAATGATAGCAAATTCATGGAACGATAGTATGTTGCTTAGGTAATAACTACTGCTGTTGTTAACAGTGGCCCCTCATTTGTAGTCTGGCTTGGAGCAGGTATAGCTTCCATCATGGGCTCCTGTATCTTATGCTGTTACCTTTTGTGCTAGTGTCCTCTTTTTCTTTAGATATTTATGCACTGCAGCCCTTTAACCCCTTTAGCTTATTTAGCTTCACAAAGAGTAACTAAATTCCTCTTATTCCTCACTAGAGGGCATGTTTTTCAATGCTTTATTCAATCTCATGTTTCTCTGCAATTCTAACTTCTCATCTTGTTTGAAGAATGGTTGCCAGATTCGAGTAACACGGAGCTAATTTTAATTTACTAACTCAGAGTTTCCCTGGAAGCTCAAACTGGGCTGATTTTTACTCCATCCTTTCTAAGTCCTCTTCATAGCTGCCACTGTTTCCGTATACACCTAATGTTCTTGGTTGTAAAATTATGTCTGTATATTTTTATGACAAAGCTACTGAGTGATTTAGATTCCTTCTAATAGCAAGAAGCTTTCCGCATTATTTCCTACATGCCATCATCACATCTGAATCACGCTTTCTTTTTTTTCCCATTTCATGATTAAAAAAATTGTCTAGGGTAAACAAAGTAAAGCTGTATGTAAAGTAAGCTGTATGGCATTCCTCTAGAAACACTTCAGTTCGTTACCCTTTTGCCATTACATACTGAGATGTGTCGTTTAAAATCTATTAATTCAGTTAATCTGTTGCATGTTTTTATGAAATCAAATGTCTTGTAGAAGTGTGTTTCATCAAAACTATTATTTCTATCAACGAAACTTATAATGTCACCTAAAAAGCCATCAAATTAATTTTATAAGATTTTTTATGAATTACAGTTGATGTGTATTATTATATTGCAGACTTTTAAACCTGCATTCATCAAGGTTTGTGTTAGCTGTTTTGTTACAGAACCCAAAGTACATGTCAGACAGATCATTTTCAATTATTCTTTATGAATAGACTGATTAGTTCTCTGATGTTTTAAAAAATAATTATATCACCAACTCTTTTGCAGAACATAACAATATTTTCCAAATTATTATGAACTATATTTTGTTCCTTCTCTTCCTTTTTCTTACTTAAATAATATATTTCATAGCATAACATTCAACTTTAAAAATATGTGACTTTTTTTTTTCCTCAAGATGGTACTGAAGAGTGTGTCAGGTATATGACTCCAAAGTAACTCAGTATGTTTTTCCATTATCCCTCCATCGTGACCCAGGCAGCTTGGCCTGGGAGCAGAGGGCTGCCCCTCTCTACAGCTGCACCTGGCTTCCCAGGTCATGAGCAGCAGGCGTGGGGATGCAGACACACATCTGGCTTTTGTCCTGCTCTTGGGCAGGGTGCGGCCAGGAGACAAACGGGGGGCTAGAAAGTGCTCACTGTTCTGTAGGATGCAGCCACAGTAGACCTAATAATAGACAAAACTCAGCCTGAAATATAGAGGACAAATGTCTGGTTTATTATCTTTTCTTTTTGGTTATCCAGCACTGCATGATTCTCTGAATAATGTTGTTCTGTTTACAAACCTAGAGTGTTTTTACTGTCTCCTATTTATTCTTTCAGGATTTGTGGATTTAACACTCCATGATCAGGTCCATCTACTGGAATGTGCCTGGTTAGAGATACTGATGATTGGCTTAGTCTGGCGCTCCATGGAACACCCAGGAAAGCTTTTATTTGCACCTAACCTATTACTGGACAGGTCAGTCTGCATGTTGCCGTGAATTATTTAAGTTAATGTATTTCTACTGCAATCAGATTAATTTTTAGCATGTAGTCATCTCACTGATACCACAGTTTGACACTAAGTTAAACAGGGTTACAGTAGGTGGGACTGGAAAAGGAACTCTCAAAGACCTAGAAATGCTCTGGAATGTGATGCTGGTCATTTATTAGAGAAGTAGCACAGGTAAAAGTCACCTGCTGTGGGAGTTCTTTCTTTCAAAGGCAGCAGAAAATTTCCCTTAGGATCTTTACAGTTTCTTACAAGTATAAATTAAATTAAAATATTGAACAATAATCACTTTAATTCAGATAATTATTTCTACTTACCTAAAACCCTCCTAGTTAGTCTTAGTCAAAATTGGTTTATCCAAGCAGCCAGACAAAAGTCTGGAAGAAAATCCTGGTAGAGTCTCTTAAGGTTTCCCCGCCCATCCTGAAAACTGGAGTCAAATATGTAAAAAAACATATCTGCTTGCTGCCTTAGGCCTTTTTTTAGGCAGCCTTGCTAATATACTGTTGGTGTTTTTAAGTGAGACAGAAAATATGCACCTCTGCCATATGGTCAACTGGATTTTAGCTGGTGGTCTTAACAAATAAAAGCTGGAAGATTGATAGAGTTTAAAAATGCATTCTATATATCTTAATTCAAACTCAAGTTCTCGATTTCCCAATCATGAAAAATTT